CAGCATCTTCATCAGGAATAGATTTCATCTCAAGAAACCACTTTTTTTGCTCATCCATAAGAAGCAACTCCTCACCACGCCATCAGGAGATGGCAGCAATTCAGTCACATCTTCAGGCTCCACTTCTGTCTTGCCAATGGGTTTCAGCCCCAGGCAAGTTCACTATGGATTCAGTGTGACCAAAGAAATGACAGTAGAACATTCTTGGGGTGAAAGGGTTATACCCAACTTTATTTTCACATTGGCAGGTCAATCACTAAAATCTTGTTCACTCAGAGCGAGTGTGCATGCAACAAGACGGTCTCTGCCTCTGGGCCTCTCTGCACAGTCATCCTGCACAGCCATCCTCTGGGCCTCTGTCCTCAGCGCTGCCACCAGTCCAGCCTCTGCTCTGCTCTCCTGCAGCCTTGCAACCATGCCACCATGTCACCCAGAGCACTGCATGGAGCTCTTTATATAGAGTCAATAACAATGTATTGCCCACAGGTGTGTAGTGAGCCAGCCAACCAGGGCCAGGTGAGAATTCTGGCCACAGAACTCTCATTTTATCCACACTCCACCCCTCCAGTATTCTCTCCTCTCAATCTATGTGCCCTCAATCCTCTGCAATGGTCCCTGTGTGAGAAAGCTGGAGCATTGTAACCACATTCCATAACAACAACAGAATCTATGACAATATACAAATAACAAAAATTACAACAAATTATAATAACCCTCAAACCTGAGGAGATCCATTGCCACCAAGTGATCATCTGCTGTATTCAAACCAGTTCTACCCAAAGAAGTTAACCAGAAGGACCATGGGTGGCCTTACAATACCCACCTTCTCCAGCCTCTCCAGCAGAAAGTCTTGCAGACACACAGGCCGATCTTGTTGCTTTATCCCTGCCTTCTGCTTTGTCCTCAGCATCTGGAACCACTGCCCCGGTCTCAATTGCCATAGCTCCAGTCATTCAATTTCTTACCATCTGCTCCTGCCTTTTCAAACCAGCCCACATCTGGGTCCTCGCGATGTTCACGGGGCCCTTTAAATTCTTCCTTCGAGAAGCAGACCGTATTTCCTTCTGTGCCGGAGCCTGAGGATAGAAGCAGGGCTCGGAGCGCGCCATGACCTGAGGAAGGGACTGCACCCCTCCTGAAAGAACCCGCGGTGCCGAGTCCTTCGGGCTTCCCACCAGCTTCCAACCGGGTGGGGTCTCCACCGAGGAGGGGCTGACTGATGTCTCCGGCACCGGCAGGGCCTCCACCCCCACCTGTTCATCAAACCTCCGCTCCTCCATTTCTGGGGCTAGCTAACGATCCCACTCCATCCTCCACCTGCCCCACGGCACCTGGCAGCCTGCGTGCTGCTGCTTCTCATGCCAGTCCTTCTCGGGCCTCTTCCTCCACCTGCCCCACGGCACCTGGCAGCCCGCACGCCCACCCTGCTGCTTCTCGTGCTGCTTCCTCTCGGGCCGCAGCACTTCATAGTGAAGCCAATCCAGTCAGCTTTCTCCTGGGGTGGACCCCGTCCTCCACCCCTTCACAGTACCTCACCCACAGGGGACACTCGAGTGTCTCCCTGTCCGTAGGTGCAGCTGCTGAAACACTCCTTCCATGAGCGCAGCCTGTTCTTTTTCCTTGGTCACCAATGAACCCTGCCGACTGTCACCAATTGTCTTGCCAATGGGTTTCAGCTCCGGGCAAGTTCACTATGGATTCAATGTGACCAAGAAATGACAGTAGAACTTTCTTGGGGTGAAAGGGTTATACCCAACTTTATTTCCACGGTAGCAGGTCAATCACTAAAATCTCATCCACTCAGAGCAAGTCTGCACGCAGCAAGCTGGTCTCTGCCTCTGGGCCTCTCTGCCCGCACAGCCGTCCTCTGGGCCTCTGTCCTCAGTGCTGCCACCACTCCAGCCTCTGCTCTGCTCTCCTGCAGCCTTGCAGCCCTGCCACTGTGTCATGCCCAGAGTACTGGGTGGAGCTCTTTTTATAGAGTCGACAGCCATGTATTGCCCACACATGTGTAGTGAGCCAGCCAACCAGGGCCAGGTGAGAATCCTGACCAGAGGAACTTTCATTTTATCCACAACTTCTAATTCTAGTTCTCCTGCTGTTTCCACCACATCTAAGGTTATTTCCTCCACTGATGTCATGAACCCTTCAAAGTCATCTATGAAGGTTGAAATCAGCTTTTTCCAAACTCCCGTTAGTGTTGATATTTTGACCTCTTCCTGTAAGTCATGATTGTTCTTAATGGCATCTAGAATTGTGAATCCTTTCCAGAAGGCTTTTAACTTAGTTTGCCCAGATCCATTAGAGGAATCACTTTCTATGGCAGCTATAGCCTTACAAAATGAATTTCTTAAATAATAAAACTTGAAAGTCAAAATGACTCCTTGATCCATGGGCTGCAGAGTGGATATTGTGTGAGCACGCATGAAAACAACATTAATCTTGTACATCTCCATCCAGCTCTTGGGTGACTTGGTATATTGTCAGTGAGCAGTAATAGTTTGGAAAGAATTTTTTTTTCTGAGCAACTATGGGCTTTATTTCTCAACTGTGGGTTTAAAATATTCATTAAACCACGTTGTAAGTAGATGGGCTGCTATCCAGGCTTTGTGGTTCCACTTACAGAGTACAGGCAGAGTAGACTTACTGTATCTTGACGGCCCTGAGGTTTTCAAGATGGTAAATGAGCGTTGGCTTCATCTTCCAGTCACCAGCTGCATTAGGTGCCTGATGGCATCTTCTTCCTTACAAGGCTGTTTCACCTACACTAAAAATCTGCTGTTTAGTATAGCCATTTTCATTAATTCTCTCAGCTACATCTTCTGGATAACTTATTGTGGCTTGTCCACAGCTCTTGCTGCTTCACCTTACACTTTGATGTCATGGAGACAGCATCTTCCCTAAGGAAACAACCTCGGCTAGCATCCAACTTTTCTTCTACAACTTCCTCACCTCTCTCAGCCTTCATAGAATTGAAAAGAGTTAGGGCCCTGCTCCGGATTAGGCTTCGGCTTAAGGGAATGTTATACTGGTTTGATCTTCCACCCACACCACTCAAACTTTCTCCGTATCAGCAATAGGCTATTTTGCTTTCGTATTATTGGTGTGTTCATTGGAGTAGCACTTTCAGTTTCCTTCAAGAACTTTTCCTTTGCATCCACAACTTGACTAATGATTTGGCTCAAGACGCCTAGCTTTCAGCCTCTCTCAGCTTTTGACATGCTTTCCTCACTAAGCTTAATTATTTCTAGCTTTTGATTTAAAGTGAGAGATGTGTGACACTTCCTTTCATTTGAACACTAAAGACCATTGCAGGGTTATCAATTGGTCTAGTTCAAATATTGCTGTGTCTCAGGGAATAGGGATGCCTGAGGACAGGGACAGAGATGGGGAACAGCTGATCAGTGGAGCAGTCAGAATAAATATAACATTTATTGATTAGTTTTGCTGTCTTGCATGGGTGAGATTCATGGTGCCCCAAAATAATATAACTATAATAGTGACACTAAAGATCATGGATCCAGATCACCATAACAAACATAATTATAATGAAAAAGCTTGAAATATTACAAGAATTACCAAAATGTGACACAGAGACCCAAAGTGAGCAGATGATATTGAAAAAATGGTGCTGATAAACTTGTTTGACACTGGTGCTCAACAGTATGGACTCACTGGACATTTCTCAGTTAATGGCTCAAAGTGGACCTTTCTCATTTGACTGCAGTGTCTATGGAGCCCCCTTTACTTGTCCTGATGGTCCATTCCAACCACTGGAAGAAACGTGGCTTTTGCAGAAATGATTTTGCTCTGTCTTTACCTTTTATAAGTCCATTTTTCACTTGCAGGATAATTAGGCCAAGGGAAGGGGAGAGATGATTATATACCTTTAGCTCAATTAAACTCAGGTTTTGTTTATAAAATTTCTGATTAGAAATATTTCCCTGGGAACATTTCTGTTGAGAAGAGTAAATCTTTTAAAAGATGTTCAAAAGACCACCTAGTGTTCCAAGTCTGTTTTATAATCTCTAACTTACCAAGCACTTACAGTCACTATATCATTGGATCCTCGGGGCAACAGGATTATTATTTCTACTTTTCAGATTAGGAAAAGTTAATTCAAGAGTTTGCGACCCAGCAGCCTCAGAACTGACACTGAGTCTACTAGTTCCCAAGGGTGTGTTCCTTCAACTTTGCCATAGTGTGACCCACTAAAGGGACTTCATTCCATTATGTAATAGTAATAATATTGGCAAAGGTGTAATATAATACCTTCATTTTGCCCATTATTTTTCTTCTATTTCCCCTTCAGGCTTCTGCTCGTATGAAATGTATTTCAGTACCATTTCATCTTATTAACTTTAAATAAGTTTACAAGAGGGAGTGTTCAACCAAAACAACCCTAATAGGCTAGAAATAAAATAAAATGACTTATTTTCACCCAATTGTTAGAGGAGTTCATTAGACCTGCAGAGCTACCACCTAAACACATTAGTTTCACCATCCAGTGAGTTTAATTTCCTCAAAAAAAACATTCTTCTACAGATGCAGTGCAGGTGGAGAGGAAGGAGGGAGGATTGTGAATGGAACTTGAAAAGATCAATTTAGTTCCAATTATCTGCTCTTACCAGATAAACCAAGGAGAAAATAATAATTTATATAATAGATCTGTTTGCATGTGTGTGTGCATGTGATACACACCTTTCAAATGGAAACAGTCAAAATTAAAGAAAACATAAATTTTACAATGGCATTGAATTTGGTCAAGATCAGCAATTTGGGCCGTGTTCTCTGTGCCTAACCCCTCACAAACATTGTCCCTAAAAGCCTAAGTATCTGGGAGGATTTTCCCCTTATAATTTTTGCCCCATGGGCATACTTATCTGTCTTAAAACCAAAAACAAAACCTTAAAATTCAGTGATTTAGAACTGGTCCAAATCAAATCAGCGGTTACTAGTTGTCTGGTATATCAGAAATCAAATATATTGATCTTTAACCCCTCCCACCACTCAATGGGCTCCCAATCTCTGCCAAGCCTCAAAACCTGTTTACCTCATGAGGTCAGGACAAGGTTGCATGAGAATGAACTTTCAAATTGTAAAGTACTGCTAAAATGTTAGAAACTCATATGGGGATTCAATTCAACAATAACATTGACAAGTAGAAAACAAATATAAATGGGAGACTTACTGTAAACAAGCCATTCAGTCACTCTAGGAGCATTGTTTACATCCTAAAATGAAAAATTTTTAAGATTCATTTACTAAAAAAGTTGCTTTCTGTGGAACATTTTCTGATAACACTTTGTTAATCAGTGTTTTGCCTTTTAATTATGCCACATAATTCAAATACCACATAATTCTTACTTTTCACAAATTCAAGTTGATCATCATTCAGTTAGTATAAATTAATTAAGCCTCAGATTTGGAAATCTTTTAAGCACATATTTCCATCACCTTCTGGAAAGAATCCCCCCTTTTTATTCATCTTCTGAACTTTCTTAAGAGACTTCCCTTGTCTCATTCATTATGAGTTCAATGCTTTCCACTGCAAAAAGCACTGTCACATATTTTACAAACACTCTGGGTTTGAGCTCTCACCTTGAGATCTTTCATTAACATATTGCTTAATGCTTGGAACCCCATTTATGTGTCAAGAAAAAATGAGTAACCCTGTCACTCATCTGCCCTGCCTGCTGTATAAATATTCAATGTACTTGGTATAAGTAATATGAAACTTCTTCTTCCCCAGATCTCTTCCCAAACATGTAATTACTTAGAGTGCATCTGGGATTGGGCTAGAAGTTGCAGAGGACAGAAAAAAGGTAATGTCAATTATTCATGCTAACAATAAGACCATTATTATAAAGATATTTGTGAAGCTTAGAATCTAGAAGGAGAGAAGAGATCTACATATAAAATCATTAATGATAAAAAAACAGTGTATGATCAGGAAATGTAGTGGGAAAAAGAAATAGATCAGTGAAGAACATGATACTTGGGGAAGGTAAGATGTGAATTAAGCTCTGTGGGTGAGCAGGATTTAAAGAGAATAAAACATAGAGAGAACACTGTTCAAATTAAGCTTGAGGGCTGTAACTGCAGGAACAAATATTGCTGATGACTTTAGCTGAATATATGAAGCCTGCTACTCTTTTTTATATTTTCTTTGCTTAGAGGTAAACTCAACTAAGTGAATGATGTGGGACCTTCCCAAGTTTATGTTGCAGTAATAGGCACTTCATTGTTTGGTCTGATTCCAGACCACCTTCTTCCAGAAAAATAATTCTTATTCTTGAAACCTCCATACCCCTCCAACTCGGTCATTTATCTTATGTTTTCCAAACAGACACCATTTGCTCATATGGCCCTGACTTTCTGGCCGCATTTGATTGGCCCAAAAATGATATCTCACCCAAGCTGGGTCAATGAATCTTTTCTCCTGGATTTTGGACTGGGAATCATAAAAAATATTAAGCCAATCTCTCTCTGGTACTGAAGCCAAAAGATGCAAACCTGGGGAGCTCTTGGCAGTCATGTTTTTAGCCAGATGGAAAAAACTACTCTGCAATAGAGCAAATAGAGGCTGATATGACACATAGAGGGAAATAGACAGTGGGTAGTGGGAGCATCTCGGTAGTTCTAACATTAGGTAAGTACAACTATAACCTTATTCTTGAGTTCTCAGTCCAACATTTTCTGATAAAACTGTTCATGCATACATAGATGTTGTGTTAACTGTACAGTGAACACTCCCATCTACCACCTAGATTCAACAATTAGCAGTTAGCTATATTTGCCTTACTGCAATATGTAGCAAAACTTCTTCTTCCCCAGATCTCTTCCCAAACATGTAATTACTTAGAGTGCATCTGGGATTGGGCTAGAAGTTGCAGAGGACAGAAAAAAGGTAATGTCAATTATTCATGCTAACAATAAGACCATTATTATAAAGATATTTGTGAAGCTTAGAATCTAGAAGGAGAGAAGAGATCTACATACAAAATCATTAATGATAAAAAAACAGTGTATGATCAGGAAATGTAGTGGGAAAAAGAAATAGATCAGTGAAGAACATGATACTTGGGGAAGGTAAGATGTGAATTAAGCTCTGTGGGTGAGCAGGATTTAAAGAGAATAAAACATAGAGAGAACACTGTTCAAATTAAGCTTGAGGGCTGTAACTGCAGGAACAAATATTGCTGATGACTTTAGCTGAATATATGAAGCCTGCTACTCTTTTTTATATTTTCTTTGCTTAGAGGTAAACTCAACTAAGTGAATGATGTGGGACCTTCCCAAGTTTATGTTGCAGTAATAGGCACTTCATTGTTTGGTCTGATTCCAGACCACCTTCTTCCAGAAAAATAATTCTTATTCTTGAAACCTCCATACCCCTCCAACTCGGTCATTTATCTTATGTTTTCCAAACAGACACCATTTGCTCATATGGCCCTGACTTTCTGGCCGCATTTGATTGGCCCAAAAATGATATCTCACCCAAGCTGGGTCAATGAATCTTTTCTCCTGGATTTTGGACTGGGAATCATAAAAAATATTAAGCCAATCTCTCTCTGGTACTGAAGCCAAAAGATGCAAACCTGGGGAGCTCTTGGCAGTCATGTTTTTAGCCAGATGGAAAAAACTACTCTGCAATAGAGCAAATAGAGGCTGATATGACACATAGAGGGAAATAGACAGTGGGTAGTGGGAGCATCTCGGTAGTTCTAACATTAGGTAAGTACAACTATAACCTTATTCTTGAGTTCTCAGTCCAACATTTTCTGATAAAACTGTTCATGCATACATAGATGTTGTGTTAACTGTACAGTGAACACTCCCATCTACCACCTAGATTCAACAATTAGCAGTTAGCTATATTTGCCTTACTGCAATATGTAGCAGTTAGCTATATTTGCCTTACTGCAAAATTTGCCTTACTGAATATCTATTTATTCATCCCTTATTCATCAAGTCATATTATTTTTCATGTATTTTAAGTTGCAAACATCATCACACTAAATTCCTGAACACTTCAGCATACATACCACTAGAGTTCAATTATTGTTTACTTTTATTGAAGTACAATTATTTACTTCAATAAAACAGACACACAGATTATAAGTGTAACATTCAATCAGTTTTGACAAATGCATACATCTACATAATTCAAGCTCCTATCAAGACACTTAGTATTTTCTTTAAATAGTTTCCCTTTCTGCTTAAGATAATTCAAGGTTGTTTTTATTATTATTATTATTATTATTATAACGTGAAATCAAAAGAGTCATAGTTAAACTTTAGCAAATTCACAGCTGAACTGGGAATTGAGCTGTCTTAATCTGCTTGGGCTGCTATAACTGGGTGACTTAAAGAACAGACATCTATTTCTTACTGTTCTGGAGACTGGGAAGACCAAGATCCAGGTGACTGCAGATTCCAGTTCCTGGGGACATCCTTCTTCCTGGCCTGCAGACAGCTGCCTTCTTGCTGTGTCCTGGCAGAGCAGAGAGAGAGAGAGCTCTGGTTTCACTTACTTTTTTAATAAGGACACTGATCCCATTATGGGGGCCCCATTCTCATAACCACAGTTAAATGTAATTACCGCCCAAAGGCCGTAACTCCAAATACCATCACATGGGAGTCAGGAGTTCAGTAGACGAATTTGGCAGGAGACTCGAACATTCAGTCCCATAACAAGGGCCCAGGGATCTAAGGCCTCATGAGCCCACATGGTATCTCTGCAAATCACAAAGACTCCTGCTCTGGTCTGGTGAAGCCTCATGGTCTCAGAGGCTAGTAAGAGAACATAGTTGGATTTCAGCCCCTGTTAAGTGCACTTTACAGCAAGTATGTACAAGTGTACATGCGACTCCTACAGAGACCCTGGAGCCTCAGTCTGAGGTGTAAGCTCTACACGTTGGCTTAACACGTCTATTCAGTTTCCCAAACATCACAGGTTTTTTTGGCTTTGTCACTGCCCAGAGCATCCTGGGGCGCTCACCAGGAAAAGCTGTCCCTCCTGACCTCTACAAAAATCATAAAGAAGAGAACTTTTCTTGGGGTGAGGCGATACTGGACGCGGCTCTTTTTAGAAGTGAGTTAGTATGGGAAAGAAGGGCAAGGTGCCTGTTTCCCTCTGTTCTTGTGATTTGAATCATCAGAGCAGGAAAAGATAAGTTGGTGACCAAATTATGAATACTTTTTTTGGTTATACTATGCTTGGGAGCAAAATAATGTCCCTAGGGGTTTTCTTGGTATTTATACGTGATATTGCAAACGTTGAGAAATCATAATGCAGTCAGAAGGTAACAGCGATTTAAGCTCTGCCTGGGCAGGTCTGGCAGTGCTTTGAGGCCCCTACAAACAGAGAATGCCTCCCTGAGACCAGGCACAGGCTTCTGCAGGCAAAACAGGATAACTGAAACTGCTTACAGATGACCAGGAAATTATCCAAAATAAGGAGCCGTTTTCTTCTGAAAGCTGGAGGAAGAGCAGGCACTTTCTCCCAGGAGTGACGCTGGGTAAGATCTTTAGCATAAATAATTGCTCATCTTTATAAACCTTAAAGTCTTTATGAGCTTTTCCAGAAGAAAGCTGTAATTCAGAGGTCAACCTGGGAGGGAAGAACACATTTTATTGACAGAGGAGAAACTTGGTCTGCAAGCTACATTTGGAGCCACGGGGAGAGGAGGGACAGGTTCACTTGGAAAATGGAAGCCCCCCATTTTTCCAGCTCTTCTTCTTAAATGTAAAGATATGTAATCCCGTCTCAAAATGGGGGTGGGGGAGGTTGCACAGGGGAATCCATCAGTCGATTTAGTTAAGGAGGTGAGGATGGCAGGAGCTGAGGGAGAGATTTGTCCTTGACCTTACCCATGCCTTTGTGGTCTCTGCCAGTCAGAGGCACTTCTCTGAGTCACAGAAGATGAGAGGCCATCTGGAGGTGGACGGTTAAGAACTTGGACTCACAGTTTGACTGTTGTCTTTGTCCCTTTCTTACAGGACGGCCTTGGTCAAGCCAATGAGCTTTTCTGCCCTGGGCTCGCCCCTCCCTGACTTCTGGGTAACACAGGATGCCCTTAGTCTGTGGTGCCAGCTGAACACTCAGTGATTACTCACATTATTATAAAGTCATTCCCCAGGGAAAACTCTCCAATGGCCACCTACTGCCTCACAAGTCCAGTCCAAATTCCTGACCATGATGTCAAGGCTTTTCAAAACCAGGCTTTAGCCTCCTTCTTCCCCTCGGCTGCTCCAGCCTCACCCTGATTCTCATCAAGCCCTTAGAACTCTGTTTCCCTAACTGGTCACATGCTTTCATTCCTCTGAGCCCTGCACATAGAACTCCCTCCGTCTGTAACTCCCGCTCCTCTGCACTCAGGTATCAGGTACAGATCCTTCGGAGGAGGCCTTCAAAGTGTAGTGGCCAAAATTCTTGAGAAATCAGCATGGTCAGGGTTTTAATCTTGGCCCCGATACTCATCCACCAAGGTGACCTTAAGTAAATTAAGCTAATTTTCTGTGCTTTAGTTTCCTCATCTATAAAATGGGCATAATACCTGATGTGGTCTGAACATGTCCACCCAAAATTCATAGTTAAAACCTAACCCCCAAGGTGATGATATTAGGATGTCAGGTCTTTGGGAGGTGATTAGGTTCATAAGGGTACAGCACTCATGAATAAGCACCCTTATAAAAGAGAACTCCAGGGAGCTCCCTCATTCCCTTCCACCATGTGACAGACAGGAGTCCGCAACCTAGAAGAGGCCCTCACCCAACTATGCTGGCACCCTGACCTTAGACACAGCCTCCAGACTGTAAGAAATAAATTCCTGTTGTTTATAAGCTATCCAGTCTGCAGCATTTTGTTACAGAAGCCCAAACAAAGACAATGTCCCCAAAGCACAGTTAGAACAACTAAATGAGATGCTGAGCACAAGGGACTCAGCACAGGGTCTGATACTGATAAGAACCAAAGTGAGCATAACCTAGATGTGGTCTGGGTGCCCCAGGAACATGCAGCTACATCCCTATGATCCTCCAGTGAGCTAGGAACATAGGAGACCTATGTACACCAGGTTCACAAAGGACATAGGCTTTGAGAGTCAGCAGTTAGTCTACATCAGGCTTTAGGCACATATGACATTGTGAGGGAAAAGCAAGAAATGGAAGCAACCTAAGTGTCCATCAGTAGATGAATGGTTAAAGAAGATGTGGTACATATACACAATGGGATATTATTCAGCCATGAGAAGAAAACAAATCCTACCATCTGCAACAACATGGATGGAGCTAGAGGGTATTATGCTCAGTGAAATAAGCCAGGCGGAGAAAGACAAGTATCAAATGATTTCACTCATATGTGGAGTATAAGAACAAAGAAAACTGAAGGAACAAAACAGCAGCAGAATCACAGAACCCAAGAATGGGCTAATAGTTACCAAAGGGAAAGGGACTGGGGAGGATGGGTGGGAAGGGAGGGATAAGGGTGGGGCAAAAAAAAGGGGGCATTATGATTAGCATGTATAATGTTGGGGGGGGCATGGGGAGGGCTGTGCAACACAGAGAAGACAAGTAGTGATTTTACAGCATCTCACTACGCTGATGGACAGTGACTGTAATGGGGTATGTGGCGAGGACTTGGTGAAGGGGCGAGCCTAGTAAACATAATGTTCTTCATGTAACTGTAGATTAATGATAATGAAATTTAAAAAATGAGACATTGTGAGGGCAAAGAAAATTATGTTGTATAACTCAAATGCTTCAAAATTCATTGATACTTATCTCATGGGCCAAAATATGGTCCATGCTGGCAAAGGTTCCATGTACACTTGAAAAACATGTACTCAGCTACACTTTGTTGAATGGACTGTTCTATAAATATCAATCTCGTGAAGAAGTTGATACTGTCTTTCGGGTCTACTATATCCTTCCTGATTTCTGCCTATTTCTTCTATGGAGAGAGAGGGATATTAAAAATCTGCAACTATCATTGTGCTTATATCTCCTTGTGATTCTAACAGTTTTTGCTTCATGTATTTTAAATCTCTGTTATTAGTTGCATAAATGTTTAGAATACCTATGTTCTTTTGAGAAACTGACCCTGTTATCATTACGAAATGAACTTCTTTATCCCTGTTAATATTCTTTACTGAAATCTATTTTATATGATATTCATATAGCTGTTCCAACTTTTGATTAATGAAATGACAAGCCACAGATTGTAAGAAAATATTTGCAAACTGTATGTCTGATAAAGGACTTGTACCTCGAATGTATAAAGAACTCTCAAAATTCTATTGAAAGCAAAAAACTCATTTTTTTTTAATGGACAAAACTTTTGAACAGCTACTTCACTACAGAGCACACACAGATGGCAAATATGCTCATGAAATGACACTCGGCAGCATCAGTCATTAGGGAAATGCAAATGAAAACCACAATGCAATCTCACTTCACTCCTATTAGAATGGCTGAAATTTAAAAAAGACTGACTGTAATAATGTGGCAAGGATCCGAGGGAACAGAAACTCTGAATGCACTTCTAGTGGGAATGTAAAATGGGACAACCACTTTGGAAAATAATTTAGCAATTTCCTACATAAACATCCATCTACAATAGAAGGCAGCCATTCCATTCCTGGGAACTTTCCCAAGAGAAAAGAAAGTATATGTTCATAGACATATAAATGTTCAAAGCAGCTTTGTTTGTAATAGCTAAAAAGTGGAAACAACCCAAATCCCCATTACCAGATGAATGGATAAAGAAGCCAAGGTATACACAGACCATAAAAGATTATTACTCAGTGATTTTTAAAAAAGGAATGAGCTACTGACATATATTACAACATGGGCAAATTGCAAAATAATTGCGCTAAATGAATGAAGCTAGACCAGAAAAAAAAAGTGCATGCTTTGTATTTTCACTCATATAAAATCTAGAAAAATGAAAAGTACTCTTTAGGAGAAGAATCAGGTCAGTGGTTGTCTGAGAATAGGGGGTGGTGAGCAAGGACAAGCAGGGTTCCAAAGCAGCAGGAGGAATTGTTTGGGGGTGATGGATTACCTTGATCCTCGTGATGGTTTGACAGATATATACATGTGTCAAAACTCATCAGATAGTTCACTTAAATATATTCAGTTTATTGTATGTCAGTTATAATTCAATAAAGCTGTTTTAAAAAAATAGTTCCATATCTACCCAAGAAAAATGAACACATGGATCCACACAAAGACTTGTAAACAACTGTTTGTAGCATTATTCATGACCAAATATTGGGAATGATCTAAATGTCCATCAACTGGTGAATGGATAGACAAGATGCCATATACCCATACAATGGAATACTATTCAGGAATTAAAAGTAGTGAACCACATACAAATACATGTTATGACATGGCTGAATCTCAAAAACATTCTGCTCAGTGAAAGAAGCTAGACACAGCAGACCACATATTATATTGGCTCTGTTTATACGCAATATTCAGGAAAGGCAAAGCTATAGACACAGAAAGAAGATTAGTGATTACCTAGGGAGGGAGCATGAGGCCATGGAGTAATAGTGAATATGCATTAGCCAGCTTAGCAGGGTGATGAAAACGTTCTCAGGCTGGTTTATGCCACCATGGTAAGCTTGCTAAAATAAATAGTTCCAAATTCTGGCTCACCTTGTCCCAATCCTCTCTCGGCTCATGGTGAACTCTCAGAATGAGTCTGTATGATAAGAAGCAAAACGAGAAAACGTCATGCAGAGGGAACTGCGGCAGCTGAGATACCGCACTGTGCACAAACCAGATTAACTCCTCTGAGTAATGCGGTTACCTTGAAAATGTGATCTTGGAAGATAGATATTTGAACAATGACACAATGTAAGGATATGGTCCTGAAAATGAACTGCAGGCATTTCAGAAAATTAGCAGGGAGAGCAAATATCTCAGTGGCTCAGGATGCTAGGATGGTATCTGTTGGGGTAGGTGCTACCATCTTAGTATATTAAGAAGTGTAAATTTTGAAAAAAATCACCAGGGCAATGAAAGCAGGGGAGTTATGTAATAACCTAGGGCTTAATTTTTATGAATGCCATGAAGGTAGGAAAAAGAAGGAAAGAGCATTTTTTTGTTGTCATGCTGGAAGCTTTTCTTCGCTTTCTGACAGTGAATATAAATTTCACCTCTAAAATAGAAAGGTGAAGAAATAGAAATATAATTTTACACACTTTTGTGTCATCCAGTGGGAAAGTTTATAAACAGGCAGAAATCACATCATGTCTTTGTGGATTCCTGTGTCCCAGCACTATTTTGGTATTGTATTTACATGCAAAGCAATGGGGGTCCTGCTGGTGTTGAACTCAGCCAGGGAGGGAAGAGAGTGGCCTCTGGAAAACGAGTGAAGTTAATGTTAGTACAGCCTCGCTATCCAGTAACGTCAGTTCCGTGTGTTTGCATGTAAGCCAGAATTCAATCATCAGCGCTATATCTAGACACTATCTCCTTTTGGGAATGAAGACAGATGAGAGACTTGACTTGTAGATATGCCAGCAAAGCTAACAGAAAAGCCTGGTGAGGCTTCAGGCTACAGGGTCCTTGGGAATGAGGCTCTGTACTTCTCAAGATCTCTGTGATCCTCTGTACTTTGGTTACTGCTATATATTCAACCAAGGAGATTTATTCTACTTCACCCCTGAAATGTATCTCCAGAAAAAGCAGAGATGATACTAACTGTACGGGAGTTGGTGAACGCACTGTCTGTGCTTCGGAGGACATCCACAGGCAATGCGACAGGAGCCTTGGCTTTTGAAAAAATACAAAGAGAAGCACCAGCTGTGCTTAGATGTGAACATGGCCTGAAGCACTTAAAATGCTACTTAATAAAGATATCAAATAGATCCAAGAATCTCCATCAGATTTACTTTGTTTTCATATTCTAGGGCTGGAGGTACTTTCAACAGTTTGATTCAAAGATGGATTATGATGTTCAACATTGGTGTGAAGCTCACAAAAATATAGTTAAAGATGAAACAGTGGCTAATATCTACACAAGGATGGAACATTCAGCAAAGTGATAAACTGAGGAAGAGAAAAGATTGAGTAAATTAATGACTCAGGGGTCTGCTTTGACTTCTGCTGGGAAGGGTAATGCATTTATCTTATGTTTGGGTTAATTATAGAAACACAATTGAAGGGGATTTCTGAAATGATAAAATGCATACAGTTAAGACACAAAGGTGGGAATACTCACACATTTTCATTTAATAATAGACATTTGTAGCTTTAATTAAGGCAGATCATCTCACTGATAAAACAGGATTGCTTTTGACTAGTAAAAGTGTGACTAGTGAATTTGCTCCTTACTCTCCTCTGCTCTGGATTTCAGAAAGCCCTTAGTCTCTGGCTGTGATACTCCTTCGTGATGCACTTGCCACTGGTCTTCATATCTGAGGATGATGCTCTCAGTGGTGTCACTGTCTCTGTGCACAGATGTAGCTGTGATGTCTGGTGAGTGTTGACCTGCTCTTTTCAGATCATTCTCTGTAACCAGAGCTGATGCAAAGAAGCTTTGCTCTCCCAGTTTGGCATTTGGACTCCTGGTAGGATTGAAAAGCTTATTCAGACTCAGCTGCCCCAAACCTCTTACTTTCATGTTATACTGGCCTGGTTGCTGCTTGAATTTCCCACTTGTCTCCAGCAAGACCTCTAAGTTATGGACAAGGGGATATCTTTAAGGTGTTGCTTCCCTTTTGACTGCTGCTATATAGACAGAAATGCATTGGTCATGTAATGGACTGTAGACATTTGAGAAAAAAAATTAGGGAGCAGAGCAAACATCACAGTGGTTGGGTGTCCTAGACTGGCAATGTGGCTCATACCTCTTTACACTTGCTAGAAGAAGGCTGAAAATTCAATGCGCAACCCACCTCTCATTGCTGGAACTAAACTATGGCTTTCTCTCTTGACCCTGAAGATCCACTGCTCAGACCCCCATAGAGTAGCATCAGTTTCCCTAAGGTACTCTTCCTGGGAAGGCCAAAACCAAGTTGATTTGGAGAGGTCATGGGGCTTACTGCTTCCAAAGTTCACTTTTGACCTGTCGTAAGACACAACAGACAGAGAGTGGTCAGATCCTCATCAAACTCACATCCCTTTTTACTGCCCACAGTGTCATCCTCTCATCTCAGGCCACCATTATTTCTTCTTGTACATTACTATTGGTCCTAGAACCCAGATGCAAGCCACACAAGGTGTTCTTACCTGCAAGTTTCCCGATTAAGGCCCTTGTTTCCCAAATCCCTTTGAGCGGTTTACAACAAACTACGTACAAGATGGGTGTGACTGCAACTTAATAATAACAATAATTAATAATAATTGAGCCTTTCAGATGCCAGGCCCTGTGCTAAGCACTTCCCAGGCTTTATCTCATTTCATTCTCATAATTACCTTCTCTAGTCATTCTGGAAATGTTTTCTTGAAAAAAAAAAAAACTCTTTAAAAACACACTCCTTAAATACCAAATGTTCCGCAACTCAATTACTTCTTGTAATTATTTTACTCCATGTTCCATGAACACCATTAATTCTTCCTAACAAGGGAAACAGTTCACACTGCAGACAAACCATGTACGTTCAAGAAGTACACAGTACCCCAGTGAGCAAGGCAAAGAGAAAACAGGAGGTTTCAGGACACCAAACCCAGCTTTTAGCCCTAATTATAGATTTTTCCAAAGTTGGCAAAGGAAGAGGAGAAATGGGGAATGAGAAAGTAGCCTGTGATCTCAGCTGCCCTCGTTGGAAGAAGGTCTCATGAAATTAGCGTGCGGAGGAATTCAGCTTCCTCCCTCCACAGCTTCTTTCTGTTTCTAAAAGTCACACAAGTAAACGGTTCATCCCACAAATATTTCTCTTATTACATTTCTTTCTGTAAACACTTAACAACTCTACATGTGCAAAGACCATTTAGCAGAATGCCAACATAGGCTTTGGAATTTGTACTTTTCAAAAGCAACAACTAAAGGCTGCTATAACTCATAAAATATGCAATATGGGGGTTTGAGTAAGATTGAAAAGTAGGAAGAAAATCTGTGCTCCCAGCAGGCAAAACATTCATGACATTTTTAATAATAATGAAACATAAGACCTCCGTAAAGCAAAGCTGAAATCCATTTTGCATGTGAAGAAAGAAATAGATTCCATTTAATTGGTTTAGGTTTCTTTTACATTTTATGTTTCTTATAGAAAAGTTTGAGGATATGGGAAGTATAATAAGTGGTTGAGGGGAGGTGTGAGAGAGCGAGCCAAGTTTTCCAGCAAGACTAGGTAAGGTAAGAAATCTTCATTCGAGAGTAACTTAGCTTTCTTGTCTTCACAAATTCAGTATATAGTCTGTAATATCCTGGCACTGCCTACATTTGGAAGACACTGGAAGGAAGTTTGTTTCTCATCCTAACTTAGGAGGTTTATCTCAATTCCTGTTAGGGAGGAAGAAAGAGAGAGAAGAAAGATGAGTGTTTTAGTTTTTAAGAGGAAGTATGATCATTGCCTTCAAATACCAGATGGATTTTTCCTGTGGGAGATGGATTAGACTTACTGTGTGTGCTTAAACAGTGACTGGTACGCACAGGCATGAGGGTTCAATAAGGAAGAATACAGTATCGTAGCTGCTACTTTCATTTCATCTTCCACTCAATCTAAGGTCCCTGAAGTTGGGACTACATGTCTTTTAGAACCACTGTGCTCCCAAGGTGGGCTTTAACAAGTGTTGAGTGGAGCATGACCGCATAACGGTTAGAGCTGTGCAGTTGTGGAGGCAGGGGGCCTCCATCCGCAGATGTCACAGCGTTGCTGGCACACACGGACTGGAGCAGAAATCCACAAACACAGGAGGGGTTGGACAAAATAGCACGTGATGCCTGATCTGATGCTGATCTAGGATTCCATTAGTTTAGAATCTGTTTTGCCTCTGTGTGTAACTGTGTCTTTTTACAGGTCTTAGGGAATCTTCCTCCCCATCTATAAAACATCCCTCACACATGCAAAAGGAAGAAGCAATTCCATGTTCCCTGCTGAGGACAGAGAGGTGAGTGCTTTTTCCTGGGGCCTGGATATGTTTCCAAGGAAACCTGCTGACCCTCTCCTTTATTTCCTTCCCTCCATGGCCTTCTTGACCTCTCCTTCCCATTGCCTGTATTTCAGAACGTGCAGTTTGCTGAGGCCAGTGAAAGAAGCCTCACTCCCTGGGGGTCAGTCTTCTTCCTAATGTACCTGATTATGAGGCTTCTACAGGAAATCGCTATGGAAATCGGACCACAGTCAATAGAATCATGTTCCTGAATGTTCCTGTGTGCTCCTCCTAAGTGCCATCTGAACGCACACAGGGATCAGCAAGGTCTACTGCAAGAAAGACAGTGTGTGCCCCCGGTGCCTGCTGGGTTCCAGGGTCCTCCTCTTTAAGGACTAAAATATACCATTTGGAATTTTTAAGAAGTAGAAACATTGTGATGTTGGAACACATGCCCAAATCAGCCACCTAGGATTATTTGTCTCCCTGAGCGGTTCTGATTTAAAACGACCCTCTGCTTTGGGTTCCTGATCGACCTGGAAGTGTGTGTGTGTGTCCTTCTGGTGTCACTTGATCTCCCATCCACATGGTGACTGGTGGAAATGCAATATTTACTATTTTTCATTTATTCCTAATTTAAAATTTTATTGGCTTTGGGAGCAAACAGAAATAACAATTTGCAGGAAACAGTGACTATAGCATACTAAATATTTGAGAAGGGGGAAACATAAGGAATCAGAAGAGAACGTCTAATGACACAGGGAAATGGAGCTGGTCCAAAGGAATATTCATGGAACTGCATATTAAATAGCACAAGCTCTCTCAGAAGGGAAAAACAGGGAGGGAATACATATACATTATCTCACTTGATATTTAGCCTCTCAAAGGTATGTCAGACAGGAACTAAATGATTCAGATTTGACAGATGGGGAAACTGAGGTACAACTTACTCTGTATCATAACTTAGTGACTGAAGCTAGAGCATTGCTTTTGTAAGCTCTTTAGGGTTATGGAAGTGATGAAGAATTCTTGGAAAGATTTTGTCTCCTAGGTATGGGGAAGGTGTAGCATTGCTCAAATGGGCAAAATCGCATGGTTCATTTCTAGGGATTCCCAGACCTCCCAAGGCCCTGAATTCTGGTAAAGACCTTCCCTCACCTGTGGGTCATTTTCCAGTCTCCTAATTCCAAGAAGTTTCTGGTCAGGTGAAAACTGTATTTTGTAAACACATTGGAAGGTCATTCACAAAATGGATCATAAATGTCCTTAAAATGGCTAACACTCTTAGGCTATTGATCTACACTCTCTAGAAAGTCACCTAGGATGTGAAAGCCACCTTCTCTGTTGCTGAAGCCTCAGAGTCAGGATTCCTAAATGTGAGTCGGTGGGCCAGAGCAGGCCTTAGACAAAACTCTTCAGCCCACAGTAAAAAAGAAAAATAAGAAGAAATGAGTTTTTCATAATGCTATCTTTAGGATTTCTGAAATTATGTTCTCCACACTTTGGATGATGAATAGCTTTATAGTGATTTTTTTCCTTTTTAGAGGGGATGGTAGCACCGATAATCCAAGTATTGAATGGTTGCAAGTCCAGTCTCAGGCTCTCCCACCTACCAGCCAGGTTAGAGTGGGCGGAGTACTTAGCATCTTTGAGCTTCCACTTCATTATCTGTAAAAATGGGAAGTCTTACAGAACCTCCACCAAAAGTGTTGTGTAGATTGAATGTAAAGAGTCAGTCACATATTAAGCCCTCAAATGTTAGCTAATATTAAGAGTTGATGGTACTGTATATCGCTATCCATGTTATATATAACAGATGATAATAGATGTAATATATATGTGTATACACATAAAACCATGGCAGAAGAAGTTAGCAGGTCTAAATAGACCCCTCAAATTAATTTTTTCAAATTTTACTGGCATGAAATCCAAATGTCTAGGAATTATTGTTATGGAATATAAGAGAAGGAGAGAGACAGAGAGAGAGGTTGAGTAAGAGTGCAGGGCAGATATTTTAAAAAATGATCTTGATCTAATTCACTCTTTTCTAAAAAACTCTTTTGTCTAGACAGATGGGAGGGAGAGGAAGGATCAGGTATTTTCAGATGCATTCAGTCTCTTCTGCCTTGAGATCCTCAGGTTTAGTCTACCCTGTATCTGTTTTCTGTCTGTGTGTCTCTGTCTCTCTCTCTGGAATATCAGCTTTATGGCAACAGCATTCTTGTGTGGCTTACTCTCTGCTCCATCCCAACACTGCCACAATGTAGACAATTTTACTCAATGAATGAGGTGAGGATGATAAACCATAGTGGCAAACACCATGGGCATGAAATTGTCTTAATATTGCAAATACTCTGCCCTCCCGGGGCTTGCATCCCACCAGCTAAGGCTCTGCCCTGTTCAATCCAGGAGGTGCCGCTGGTAGGGGCAGCTTGAGTCTTCCCTCAGCCTGTGCTACAGCACAGGGTGCAAATGGAGTCAAGCACTCTGTATCTCATTC